ACGTCTTAAGAGAGATTAATCGTTGCAGTAGAAGTGGAAGCGCCACTACTCGCGATGATTTCAATTGTCAAATGGGAACATTGATCGATTATATATATAGTACCTCTTAATTTTACAGTCGGCATTTCGTGACATCGAGGCCGATCCTCTCTACTGTCGAATTATTCGACTATCGAGAAACGTTATAGAGGCGAACGACAAGGAACCGCAGATGAAAATAGCCATATAAAACATCGCTATATATAAACGGCTGCAAGAAATATTTTTACTACTGCTTGTGCCTCAGTCAACTTGAGATCCAACTCAAGTGGCTTCTTGAAAATGCTCCTTCAAAATCCCTCAAAAAGTCTCTCGCGATTCTTTCATGATGATTCAATGATGTTCAAGAAACGTTATATGTAATAAGCCAATCATTGAGATAAAAGACAGAACGCATAAATAGGTCTACGAATAGAAAGCGCATTTGTCAGCAGAAACTCATGAAAAAATATGAAATACATTTAAATCGCATTTAAATCTCGATCGTAATGTTATGTATATTTTTGCGTCATTGCACGATATTATTTAACATTTGAAATACATATAACATAATATGTAGGTAGATTATTTATTAAGATCCGTTTTGTATAATATATTTTATATATCAATATAATGATCGAACATTCTTTTTAAAATTTTACGAATATTGTAACGCTAGTTTGATGACAGGAGAAATATGTTATAAAAGAGATTTATGGAAGACCTACGTTATCACTCGTACTCGTATCACAATTGATAAAATACTTGAAAATAAATATTAACTGACGTAAAGTCCCATCATAAAATAGGGGGTCAAATAGACGAACCAGATTGACTCACCTTTTGGACGATGAGCGGTGTGCCAAAATCCTTGCCGCCTTGCAAACGGAAACCCCAGGGGGATCCGTCGAACCTGGACAGCTTGACGCCGATCAGTTGTGCCATATCACTGTCTTGCCCGAACTTGTCGCCCGTATGTCGAGGTAAACGATCGTATGAACGGTGAACGGTCTCGAAAACTGTCGACGGCTATCGGGTGAACGAGCCCTTAGCTCGGCTCAGCTACCTTGGAGGTATCGCGATGCACCACTGACAATTGGGTCGACAATGTCCGTTTGTTGGCCGTTTGTGTATACGTACTCTATAAAAGGGGGGTATATGTATCGCGCTCTCTCGAGTGGAACGTGAAACGGGCACGTACGTTCCCTGAAGAACGCGCAGACCGGAGTAAAGGTATAAGAGGCGCCGAGGACGGTCAGTCGGGCAGCGGGGCCTCCTCCGTCCTCGCCACGCGATTTGCAACGAAGAGGAGGAGTACGAGAGCGCGGAAGGAAAGGGAAGGAACAGCAGGAGGGAGGCAGCAGGAAGAAGGAGGGAAATGCGTGGATAGAGGACAGCTGGCGGGGATAGAGAGAGGAAGAGAGACTAATTTATTATTATATGTTCTGGCAGAAATCTCTTCGGAGACAGTGACATATCGTGAAAATGAATGACGAAATTTCATTAAAAGAGTATTAAGTTCCGGCCAATTTCAAAATCAGCACTTGGACTTCCCGACAGAGCAGTTTGAACTTTGAACTCGAGTCTGAAATTGTTCGGAAAGAAGATATCCGGATTCAGCTACGATAACGAAATAAAAGAACGATTTCTTATTAGCGATAGAGGAACAAAAAAGTCAATCACTCCTCCTTACAATGCAGACTGTTTCATTGGAATCTTAATGTCCGAACTGTACAAATTCTTTGGATGACGATCATCTTTGTTGCAAAGTTACGAAGCGAAGACAATTGGGTTCTGAAATAAGGTCGCGGAATAATAGTCTGCGACGGAATGCGATTGAGCGACGTCCTAAATAGAGGCTAAAGAACCAAGGTAGCGAGACTGGCGAGTGAAAGAGAAAATTGAACGTTCTCTTAATTAATGATTAAAATAATAAATTGAATTTATTAATAAGTTAATCTAGACCGCTATATGAATAAATCTTGTCTTTTATTATTATCCATTATAAAATTCCCAGAATTCTGTCGACCGAACGTGTCCACAGACGTTGTGCATCCGGTGCATCGTGTAAGGTGCTTCTTACACCGCGGCGATGGGAATCAAGGGGCGGAAAATGTAGGCAATAAGATATAACGCCGGGGCGGAAAAAGGAGGACTAAATTGCAGGAAAAGGATGGAACAAGATCGGGAATGTCGAGTTAACCATCTCGATGATCATGATAAAAAGATCGCGCAAGCATTTTGCGCCTTTTCCGTTCCTCTTCGCTACTAATTACGTCATTCTTTCTCTCTCTCTCTCTCTGTCTGTCTGTCTCTCTCTCTCTCTCTCTCTCTCTCTCTCTCTCTCTCTCTCAACAAATTATTTTAAAAGTGATATGGCAATTATGAATGAAAAAAATTTTGATAAATTATTAATTAATTTTTAAAAAAGAATTTCTAAATATTTTATTTATAGCATAAAGTCTTGTTTTATCTTACTGTTTATAAAGATTCAACATACACACAGTTATTTATGAATCAATTAAAATTTTAAATTCCAAGCTATTTTAGAAATTAATTAAAATATAAAGGAAAAAGAGTTTTATTTTTTCGAGAGTTATACTATTCTCTTTTGATTATTTTTTTATTTTTTTAAATTTATTCCGATATCTCTTGAAAGACAAACTATTTTTATTTATTTGTTGTTGATGCGTATATTAATTCTTAGAATACGATGATATTCCGGTCCTTAACATATATCGGAATGAAAATTAATTTTTATTATTTTTACAAGTATATATGAAGAATATTAAATAATTCTCATCTATACTTTAACATGTTTAAAAAATACGTATAAAATTATATAGAGCTGAAGCAATAAACTATTATAAAAATGAGAATCATGCAGTATTCAGGGTTAAAATGCGTGTATAAAAAGAAATTGAATTTTTAAAATATATGAGCATGTTTGGAATTTCTTTGCATCTCGAAGGCTATCTTCCAATGCATGAGAATATAAAATAAAATGGATCTAGTCATCGTCGTCGATAGGTCGCGTAGGAGGTCATGAATGGAAACTCGTTAAATAAATCCTAGCGCTGTCACATGCTTCCCATTAAATCTCTCGGCAATCAGATATGAATTTATCGAAATTGACGTGCGGCGAAAACATGTGAATGAATTATATTTATCGAAGAAAAGAATCTTCTCCTTATTCCTCCGTATAACTGAAAAAAATTGTATATGACTTTTTTTATCTTACATTAATAATAAACGAGAGAGTACAAGTTGCATTATGTTTAAATATAGTTAGAACAAAATGCATTTTTTTTCATATATATAACACATTAATATAACGTGTGAGTTCGAAAAATTCGCAGACAGGACACCTTGATGGACGCACCCGTGCTCGCGGCGACTGCATTCTGCGCCGGTGGCGGTCACGAGGGCGCGAACTAGTTCGTGAATCATGCTTAGAATGCTTTACATAAATTGCTCGAGGCCGACGTCACGATCGGAGAACCCTAAGTGAGCAAGAGTGAGAGGAAGAGTTTTTTTTGAGAGAGAGAGAGAGAGAGAGAGAGAGAGAGAGAGAGAGAGAGAGAGAGAGAGAAGGGGGGGAGCGAGGAAAGTAAAAGAGAGAGAAAGAGAAGGAGAAAACTAAAAAGAAGTTCATCGGCCAGGAAGGCAGACGTGACTCAGCCCATCATACGCATACGCGAGACGCGGATAACAGGGACCTCGGAAACCCCGGAAAGGAGAAAGTATGCTCCGCGACTCATCCGCGGATTTCCGAGCGAGCGGACAATTGCGGTCGTTTACTTGGAAATTTGCCTTTCTGGGTCGACTTCAATCATCACATGTTCCGGAGATCCAGCAATCGCCGCGGTTAATCCGCATCGAGTGGAATGCTGGTTCCGCGTGTACAGTGGGAAACAACGGTACACAGGGTGTATCCAACCGCTTCGAGAAACCAATGGAAATTAATGGTGACAGGTGATGTTATCGGTTCCCGCATATAGCAAGCATGCGGTTAGACAAACGGATCCTTCAGCTCATACTAATAATTTAGTGTCCTCTTATTAGCGAATGGATGCGAACGCGAATGTCAATACAGAGTGAAACGGACGGACGCCACTTTCACATACTTCACTTTCTAAATCACTTTCCTTGAGAATCAATTAATTACCAGGCACAACTACGCACCTGCTAAGTACCTCATCACACCTGATTATTAAGTGATCTGTATATGATATGAATATAGAAACATGTATTGTTGGTAAAAAAAGTAATTAATGCCATACATTTTGAGGAACATAATGCTTGATTTTATTCTGGTGGGATATAAGATTTCTTGATTTTGCAATTTACAATTATAGACAAGTGTACGGTATCGAGAAATAGCCACAGTTGCGCAAATTAATTAATGTTTATTAGACTTTAAACATTTTATGCATTTAACCCTGCTGATTCATTCAAATTTATTATTGATCATATCATTTAAATCAATATGATCAAAAAGTTTAAAAAAATAAAACATAAAAAATGTTTGAAAAGAAGGATTTTACATTAACAAAGTCATCAAATTAGAGAAAAAATTTTTAAGTAAATTATTGATAAGAAAATAAATTAATACATTTTAGATCAAATAAATCCAAACAGATCAGCAGGGATAAATGTTTGCTGAATTAATTGATCTGAATGTAAATTTATCCAGAAATGGCTGTAGATCTCTTTATAGCGGAGAAAATCTTTCTCGAGGCGGTTTGAATACAAACGTACTTGTACGCACACATGCTTAGAATTATTACAACCACATTGTATTGATGATAGTGCGATAACATTCTTCAGACGCGATTAACGTGCCAGATAATTACATTTCTAGTAATTTCTAGTGGTTTTCTTGAACTTTTAAGATACGTAGATTTAACACATTCTTCAAATACACATAAATTTCTCGCGTATACTATCATATTACATTCTGATCGTTTATAATCGCTGCATTAGTGGCTGACACTTCGAGCGCTCCCGTCGTCTATAACACTCAACGCCGGTGATTTCTGAAAATATATTAAGAAATAAAATTTTCCTTTTCCCTTGGTTAGTGTAATATTGATAATAATCTTAAATTATCTACTTAATTTTATAATTTGATTGAGTTATTACGGATTAAATACTTGAAGTTGTTTACTTACAGACAGATTATATATACATCATCTGTTTAATTCTAATTAATTTAAAATAAGATATAAAATGTAATTTTTATAGGATCAAATAACATAATTACATAGGGATGACAATGATTAATTGGCAATGTCTGCTACCAACAACTTCATTAAAATGTTTCCGTAAACACATTTAAAATCGCTTAAGAAATATTTTGGTTTTGTCACGGTTTTACAATTAATTATCATCACCTCCATTCTGTCTAAGCGATTTATATTGACAGCCGTGAAAAATTACAAAGAGAAGCTTACAACTCTTTCGATTATATCTTCCGCCGCATTGACTTTAGCGGGTCTGACGGGGATACCCCTTTTCGGTTCTCGCTCCATTTTATGAATCATCTTATAAACACTCGAATTCATCAGGTAATCATAATTTGGTAAATTCGTCTTCTCATACTTCTTGAAGTTCACTCTGTACAATCGATTAATTTAATACCTTTTAGAACAGTCGCAACATCTTTCTTGAGATTTCTTTCCATCCTGTAGTACAATTTTGATTCGTTTTGAAATTGTTTTGAGTAAAATTATACTTACCCCATTGCTTTACCACGAATAACTTCCGCCTGGCAGGTCAACACTTCCGCTATCATCTCATCGTTGAAGAAATCATTCGGGCATCTCCATCGGCGACCTTGCGTAAGTTCGAGTTGCCTAGCCTGCGGCCACAGTTCTTGCGAATGCTTTTTGCCTTTCTTGTGCACCCTTTGCTGAAAATTAAAACATAACAAGTTAATGGTTTTGCTCGAATTTGAATGTTCACCATGCATCAATCGCGTAAAAGGAAACAAAATTACGAAATTCACGACACGTATAAACTATTTTAACATCAATATAGAAATCGATTTATGGCAAAGAGGTGATGCAGGAACGATAAATTCACAAAATAGGAATATCAACCATAAAACTGATACATATTTTGATTCATCGTACATTTACGCAATTAACTCATTAAGGATTTTAAAACAGGGTGAACTTTCATCAACATTTTAACGAGTTTGTAATTTTTTAGCACGAATAATATAAAGAGGAATCATTTCATTCTAAGACACAGATCATTCTATTCATCGGGTACCTGGAGTTCCTGTATAACTTGGTCTTTTGGTGACAGTTTAGGATCTGGTTCGAAACTTCCTATAATGTAGCATTGTTGTATTTTACAACATTGTTTTATATCTAACTCAAACATAATACGAAAAATAATATTTTAATATCGCAAAATTTTACGCACTTATAAAGTTACACTTCACTGTTTAATTATAGTATTTTTGCGAAATTTAAGACCAACAGAGAGTTCATGCACGAGTATAAATAATATTGATAGTTACCGTGCGATGGTGCTGGACTGGGCGATTTTAGAACTTTAGTTTCATAAGAGACGATAAATTTCTTCACTCTACTTCCTTCCTCGTCCGCGCTCTTCACGGAAATCATACCGTCCAGTTCTTTCATCTCCGCTTCCTCTTCCTCCATTTCCCCCTCGTCATCACTGGGCTCGATCACTTGCGGCGTTGACCTCGATGACGTCCTTCGCTCCAAACACGCAATCTCTTCGATGTAATCGTAAGTCTCCGTAAATTCTTCGTCTTCTTCGTCAGTATCCTCCTCCTGCTGTTCCAACTCCTCGTCGTCCTTTTGCCGTGCCATGGTATTCTCTTCTGAATGAAACGAATCCAAAATTACAAATTATAAAAAAATTAAAAGTATTCTCTATTTAATCTAGGCTTTATTTTCATACACTTGAATTGATCTAAATATAAATGAGTTAAATTTAAAAAAATATATAAGATATCGAAACAATGTTTTGTTTGAAAAAATATTTAATTTTAATAGAATGCAATCTCTTATTTTTTAATTTAATCATTTTTTAATTTAATATTGACGCGAGAATTGGCATCCACTCAGAATCGAAGTCACATAGCGACGAAACTCGAAAATATGCCTAGAGAATAATCGTCAAGGTCCGCTCTGGCTATTTTGAACACGATTACGAATCTCGGTCACCTGACAACCCGCGGCAGCCACCGTTTCTGTTGCCAAGGGATCCCTGCACGCCACTAAGTTCCATAATCATGTGCAGTTGCTCGGACACGATCTTCAGGTGATTTTCGATTTCACTTGGTAGCTGCTTCAGAGCCAGCAATTGTCGCTGCACGTTCTCCAATTGTTGCTCGAGGCTGATCTCCGTGGATACCAGTTGCTTGATCTTCTCTTTGTTATTGGTTTTTACTGCCACCGGATCTGATGTGGAGACGCTCGAATCTTCCTCGGCTACTGTTTGCTCGTCCTGCGTTAATCTTGCCTTACAAGATTCGGGACGATCCTCCTCCTTGAACTCTGGTCTTTCTTTTGCTTCGACCTCGTCGACTTCGTAGCCTTTCTTTTCTTCTGTTTCTTCTGCCTTTGATGCGGGACGTGAATCAGATTTTCCCTCTTGCTCTGTCCTGCATACGAACTCTGGTGTCGCTGAAGTTGTCTAAATCGTGAGAAAAATTTAAATTATAGAGAATATACTGGATAAAAGTGTGTTTGTTATTAAAGGATTTTATATTATTATATGAAAGGATTTCATCTATCCGAATGACTTACTTTTGTCAAAGATTTGTTAATTTTTCGATCTTTTTAACATATCTTTTAAGATATTATTTAAATATTTAGAACAGAGTAAGTCTTAATTTTTTTTTTCATAAAATATTTTTTTAAAGTTATATTAATTGATATATTTTGGTCTGTGTGTACAACAAAAAATTATTGTTTTTGGCAAAACGAGATATACGTCAAAAACTATTTTATGCAGCAAATTATGCTGCCTAGTAGTTTTTAATTTGTAAAAAAATAGAGAGAAAGATTACATATCTTTGAAGGTTTATCGAAAATGAATAAATTAATGACCTTATTTTTCTTTGAAAAATATTATTTATATGTTAAAATATAATTATTTAAAAAAGTTATTTTAAAATAATAAAACTATATTTTTTAATATTATTGTAAAAAATTAATAGCTGTGCAAGTAATTTTTTTATTTAAAAAATTATGCGATGTTTAAGAATTATGATTATCTTTCTATGGTAATTGACAAATACTGCAATTTTTGTTTAAAAAAACGTTAGAAAAATGTAATATTGAACATACCTACCTTTTCAAATTAAATCAAATTGAACGTCTTGTTTTGAAAGTATACTGCACTGAACCGGCACTTATGTAATGTATGATTTAATTATATTGTACTATACGTTATAAAATCAGGCAACAAAAATTAAATTAATAATAAATACTAATAAATCAGTAATAAATAATTAGAATAAAAAATAAATAAACTATAATTCGATAATTATAGCTCATATATGTATAATAGAATGTAAAATTGTAATCTTCTTTTTTGTTGTGGTTCACATTTTTGTTACGTAAAAAGAACGGTTGATATGTATATGTACGTCAACAGATATAAAAGAATCAAGTATGAATTACTAGTTTCAATAATTTTATCACTTAACATATTTCACACAATTGAGGAGTAGTAATTGAATCAGTCACATTAGATATCTTTGCATTCCGATTATTCTACTATGGATTCACTCTAACACTTATTCTAGTGACAAAAACAAAACATATGGTTACATTCAAATTTGAGAGCACATTATTTACGAGACATTTTTATATACACATACGGATACCAATGCGTGTTTTATGTTGATCTATAAATATCTATGAAATTAGGACAAATAATATCTATTTAAATTTAAATATACAATCATGGGATATATTTGTATTAATCTAAATTACGATTAATTAAATCAATATAAAATGAACTGACGCAATATTAAATTTTTAAGTAAATTTTTTAATCAAAACTGAATTTCTGTATCGATTATAATTACGTCTACAGTTTAATTATATTGATTGCATCAAAACAAGGTACAAACGTCTCATTAGATGATTATTAGATGATAATACT